AAAGAGGTAAATCCCTAAAAGACATACTCGTAAGAGCAAAACTATAAAGGGGTCATATATTACATGGTACAAAAGTTTCCATTGTTAGAAGTTGTGCAGGCCTGTCACTCCTTACTAATTCCTCCTTTTTAAGTACTTCCTGAAAGTGTACCGCCCATCGCTCTTCCCGTTCCTTCTCAGTTGTTAGTAATGCCCCTTGCTTGCTGCACGCAGGTGCCTTCCCTCTCCGTTGACCTCCACAGATTTGCTTGGCGATTCTGTAAACTGTACCTTGCTCCTGTTTCTGGGCAGCAGCCTCTTCTGTTGCGAGGTTCTCAACAAATCTTCTTTTGTCAGCTCTACCTGACCGCTTAACTTTGGCATTGAGTTTACTGTACTGAGCTTGTAATTTCTCTTTTAGGCGAGTAGACCTGGCCCCCATAATTTCGCCCTTTGCTCTTTTCCTCTCTGCAATAGCATCCCAGGTGTCCGCACTCAACCATTCTTTGTGGGATTTCTACTTATAAGCAAGGGTGGATGTGGCGGCAGTATGATAGATCTTGACTATCTTGTCCCATTCGGATCTGAGTGAGCCTTCATTAGCTGTACTAGTGTTTTCTTCTGCAAGAGTCTCAAACCAGTTACATAATTCTATGTAGTACTGGTTCCTTGTGTCATAATTCTTGAGCTTGGATACATCAAAGCGCCTCTGGTGACATGTAGTTTTTCTACAGTGCAGTAGCTTCAATTGAACCACAGCAGTAACAAGATNCTTTGGGGGGAGCGTTGCGTGACATCCCAAAAAACGGCTGCGGGGGAGACTACGTCAAGGGTCATCGTTAAGGCTATGCCTGGTGTACGTTTACAATTTAACATTAGCATAAAACGTAATATTTAAACTTGGTGAATAATTTGACCAGCACAGAACGCATCACTTCACTACCCATGGCCTTTGGAGTGTTTGGAAACCTTCTTCGATTACGGAGACTAAAGAGATTTGGCAAGCTATCAGTTTTCGTGCTTTTAACCTTTTCAATCTCGTATTTCGTCTTCATCTTTCCTAAACACGGTCAAAATGATGGTGGCGGCGCTAGTGGTAGACACCAAGAAGCACGTGTGCGCGTACATTTAGATGGCGACATTGAGCCCAGGTTAAATGTTCGCATTTGGCGATCGGTGTGTGGTCCGAATTTGGCGAATTTACGACGGTCGCCGTTTTTTCCACGTTACCCCGATGAGGAAAAGTTAATGACAACTGACTTATTTCAGATTGAAGACGGCAGAGCGGATTATGGACAGCAACTTTTCGGGTATTTACACCCGGCAAAGAGTGGATCATACCGCTTTGCGATAGCCTCCGACGATTCATCAGAGTTGTGGCTCAGTCCAAGTGAATTTCCCGAAGAGAAATTAATGATTGCCGGTGTGTTTACCAATGAAAGTGCAGCGTGGACGCAAAAGAACCAACTGGATAAATATCCTGAACAACGTTCGAATGACGTGAAACTTCGCGGAGGAAAACGCTATTACATCGAAGTAATTCATAAACAAGGTTCTGGCGACGGATTTGAGCAAGTTTTTTGGAAACGGTCTAGCGGTGCAGATTTCAAAGTGATCAGTTCCGAATACCTATCGAGGTATTCGAACCGATCGAACAACACCCAGGTTACGGGGAAAAAAGAGTCGGCCCATACCGTGCTTTCAGTGCAGTATCACCATGAATACAAACTGAAATCCAACAGAACAAGCAATGAATACCGGAAGTTCTATTCACTGCCTTTGATTCCCAAAGATAGTTATCTACCAACATGTGATTACAAGACAAGTTTTGTGTCAAGTGACAACATCTATCGGTACGAAGGTCAGAAATTGGTTTCTGAATCGAATGTTTTCCCTGATGATGACACAAGCATGGGCGATCCGGGCTTTGTTTGGAACCGGCACAACCGTTTTGCCGATAAAGAAGTGATTCACTCGGTTGTGAATAAAATGGTGACTTCTCTTCGTCAAAGCACCTCCAAGTAAGTTTAGAACAGGGTTTCTTTATTTATGTAAATCTTCATTTGATATATTTATTTAAAAATTCATATGAACTCGTGTAACCGGTTTACACGGCGTTCACCAGTTAGTGTAATTGTTACTGTAATTAACTCTCAACCTCCATAATGAATAAATGTTTACTTTTCCACTTGGAATCATAGACCCTTTTCTTAAGTATCATAAGTATTTAAATTCAGCCTTACCAACCTCGTTTTTAAATTGAAAATTCAAAGGAATTTTTACACTCAAATGAGTTAAGTGAGGCCAGTTTAAATGCATATACAAAAGAAAAAGAATTTAAATTGGCAGCCATTTATGAAAAGGTTCTATACCAAGTGGTCCAAGTGGAAAGATCAACTTTCTCTCGACTCTCTGGCAACTCCAAACACGGGGAAAAAATTCGTTACTTTCTGTTTAGTTCATGGATTATGATATTGCTAACAATGTAAACCGTAGCGGAGTCGGTATCGCAAAAGGTCTCTTCGTAAGACTGAAGCAAATAATGTCTTGTTGCTTTCGAGAACACCATTCACTGTAGTGACATTGTTTTGGCGCGGTATTGCGCTTTGTCAGTCAAGCCTTTTAGGGTGCGAGTACGACTATCAACAAAGAGAGCTGAGACATCTTACAAGCGTTAGTCCCCTTCGCAGTATTTCACGCGGTGAAAGTCACGCGAAAAACATTCACATTTTCCAGGTAGACGTTCACACCCAGGCTTCCTCACTTTCGCAGCCGTTACGTCGTCACGCAACACTTCTCTCTGTAGCTTCCAAAGTCTGTTCAATCTATAACGATTTAATGTCATTACGCAACTATAACAAAGATTTTGGTCGTTTTCCCATAAATTCGTTATAGCGGGGTTTCCTTTATCACAGACGTCCGTCATAGCGAACAGTAAACTGATTCGGTTAACTCTATTTTTCTCGGTTCCGACCTCATACCCCGTCAAGTCTCCCGTTCATTACTGCTCTTTGCGCCAGTAGGCGCATAAGGCTGAAGACGTTTTGCGCTGGCGTCCGGTTTTCCCGTGTTTTTAGCCGCGCGTTCAGCGATCGAATAAAATACGAGGGCTGTGACCAATCTGTGTTGCCACCCAATTCAGACTGCGTGATGATTCATTTGGGAGGTTACAATTGTGCAATTTGTCCCACGCAACTGATTGCATGGAAGTATGTAAAAAGAAGACAATTGCACAATTGTAACCTCCCAAATGAATCATCACCTGATCTGAATTGGGTGGCAACAAGGATGCAAACACGTTATGCGAATCCGTCCGAATCCAGGTATAAGACGTGCGAAATTTATATGTTGAGAACTTGTCAGCTCAATAGCGTCTTTCGTTTGGAAACCCGTGCATTTTGAATTATCTATCAATTTGTTTTTACTTTTGAGAAAGTGGGTAAAATCTAGCTAAAAATAGTTTAATTGAGAACAAAAAAAAAATTAAGATATCAACTGGGGCGAGTGAAATAAAATTTTTAACGAGGTTTGTGGAACGAGATTTTATGACATTTTCAGCTGAAAAATGTGATCGATCTCACAGTTGTTACTAGCTTGCGAACAGGCTCCCGGTTAGTTTTAGAGCGAGCCAGCCGAGTGTAGTATAGGGCGAGCGGGACGAGCCGAAAGCGATCTGGTGACGAGGGAGTGCACGGGGCGCTCGCGGATTCACGCTCCGACTCCCACTCGCTTCGCTCACGGAATCACGCTTTCGCTCGCCGAATTTTTTTCCGCCCTCGCCGGGAGCCTGTTCGCAGGCTAAGTTGTTACGAGATCATTCCTGTCTTTTCCTATCTAGCACAACTGAAAACACCTTTTAAGGATGTGATAAGAAATTTTCTTGTTTCTTTGCGGCCGTATTTGATTCCTTAGTGAAATATTTGTTTTCGGTGTCGGGCTATTTTTACTAGCTTTTCTCGTTATCGTTATTTCAAAGGTATCACAACAACTGTTAACAAAAATATCTTACTGCATATAACGGGGATACGCTCAACCTCGTTCCCAGTGTCTCTTTTCTTCCCGCTCTCCAGGAGGAGACCCTGAGAACGAGGTTGGGATACGCTCGCTGTGACTGTTTTGTCTTATTCCTCAAACTGGAAAATATTAATGCGCATGAGCAGAAAAATATTTGCAGTGTTAATGACTCTGTTAACGTTATCTGGGAATGAGCAATTATTTGCCCATGACGTCGTAGTTTCTCCACCAATCAGAAAGGAGCGAAAAATCAGTCGAATGATCGTGCAATTATTCCAGATTTCATTCTGTAGAAAGCTGCGAAAACATTCAGCTAAGGAGTGAAGTACATTACTTGCAAAAGATTTTAGACGATGTTAATTTCGAACAAAAAGGTGTCCGAAAAGAAAAACGTCCGAAATTATAAGCGTCCGAAATATTTACAGTACAGTATAAAACTTTCAAATAGCTCCAAAGCCGCTAGTTTCCCTCATGGAGCGGACTCTAGTTGAGATACGAACGACTAGATAGAATTTTTTATTTTCCCGTCGGTGTATCCGTAAAACTTCGAAGTTGCAGAAAACTTTCACTTTCACAGATGTTGTTTCAGTTTAAAACTTGTTTTGTAGGCGCAAATTTACGTTAGCTTTGTTTTAGCAAAGTGTCCGAAATTTTTGTCCAAAATTTGTCCGAAGTAAGGTAAAAAGTGTCCGAAAATTAAACATGCGATATTTCGTTATAACGATTCCTCGAGTGTGTTTTGGTATATTATATCCCAGTCCTGTTGTTTTAAAAAATATCTTATTTGGCACTTGATAAAGACGCTGAGTGATTTGTCTCGTTTCCTTTCCAGGGATTTCTTTTTAAAGAGAATCCACAAAGTTACGCAGAAGTCTGATCCAGTTTATGGTGATCGCTTCTCTGTCGACGTGGAAGTTGGTTTACAGCATAGCATGAAATCATTTCGCTTGTCAGAGCACGTCTATCAGAAGAAGGGAAGTGACAAGTTGTGTTTTCCAGAAGGAATCAACTGGAACAGCACAGCTACGGTGTACTTCATACTTCCTGTCAAAGACCAAGGACGATGGGTCAATCATTTTATCAATGAACTCACTGTTGCCAGCTTATTAACCGGTGATACGAACTTCCACGTCATCGTTGTGGACTTTGAAAGTCAGGATATCGACATGGACAAAGCGTTTAACACTCCTCTGTTCCGCAGCAGACACACCATTGTTAACATGACGGGTAAATTTTACAAGACACTCGCGCTAAACGAAGCTGTCGCGCGTGTTCCAAGCGAACATGATCTACTGTTTCTGTACGATCTTCACATCGATGTTCCTGTGGACATCATGGACAGCGTCAGAAAGGTTCGTGACTAAGATTCTTGAGCAGTGTAAATGATTACTTAGTGATTTATCGCTCGACGTATTGATCAAAATCTCAAATCGTTTCGATTGCGCATAAAGAAGATACTATATTTTTTATGTTATTTTTGCTCTTACACTGACATGATCAGGTTTCTTCTGATTCATCTTTCAGAATACTATTGAGGGACGAATTGCTTATTTCCCTGTGGTTGGTCGCCTCAACTGCGAGAGTACGTATGCGGATCACAGGGGCTTCTGGCAAATGAATGGTTTTGGCTTGCTTAGTATATACAAGTCTGACTGGACAAAGTTTGGTGGTAAGTGGAAAAAAAGCGAGCTCGCTCACGGATGTTACTAGCCGTTGCTTGTATCATCACGCAACGCTTTTCCCTCACTAATCAGTGACGACCCTAAGTAACGGCTACCAGGGCGACTATCCTGGATGTACAACGAACATTTTGTGTCGTCGCCTTTTGGAAATAACGGTGAACATATTTCCGGTCACAGCAGAATAGTTTTTTTTTTAACAAAAATGACATTATGAGAAGTTGATTAGCCTAGCCTTCCGCGAGTGTGGAGCACTGAGATTTTTCGTGTTCTTTTGTCTTTAATAAAAAAAAATTACAATTTCCTCGATTGTGATTGGTTCAAAAAACTCCTATGTTCCACTAATTCACTTGCCGAGTTGTTATGGGACAGTTTGTTATGGGACAGTTTGTTACTGGACAGTCTGTTATCGGACAGTTCAATAAGCCAATCACATTCAAAGTTGTAGTTACGTGCGTGCGCGCGCGCTTGCTTTTGTGTTTTTCGCGCCTAATTGCCGGTAGGAGGCGCGGTGGCCTTAGGATGTTTACGTCTCCTTTTTAGGTATTTTAATGCAAGTTTTCCCGTTCTTTCATAGCTTGGCTATTCTTCTTTTCTCGGAAATTGTAGTTTTTATGATTAATTGGTAACAAGACTTCGTGTCGTCCAATTCGGTCTGTAATCATATTCGTGTGCGGTCGTCCGATTTTGTTATCACTCTTATGATAACAGATCGAATTGGACTCCACTCAGTCCTATTACCATTACTTATCAATTCATTGGGATATGAAGAAAGTTTGTCGTCCAATCCTCCTTAGGAAAAAAGATGGCGGCTGTACATTTTACCACGATACCATGCGATCCTTGCGCAGTCCATAAAGTACAAGTAAAGTCTTATTTTTGCAATATTTGTTCCAGTGATTACGGCATTGTGCAAGTTAGTTTTAAAGGCTCCATAGCTTTTCTGTACATTTTTATGAGCGAGAAGTTTAAGTTGAACTTTCGTACGCTAAGAATTATGGGTAAATGTTCCAGTAACCATCTTTTTCCTACGGAGTTGTATTTGTATTTTTCATATTTGTTAATTTTTCTTTAGCTGTGTTTGACAGTTTCCCAACTTCAATTCATTTTTCTCCCCAAAGGAATGAACGCCAAGGAATTCAGATACAAATGGGGCGGGGAGGACTGGGATCTACTTGACCGAGTATTGAACGCCAAGTTGGAAGTGGAACGGATCAAGTACCCAGGCCTCTATCATCATTATCACAACAAAGAAAAGATTTGGAGTTAACGTACTGTGCAACCGCGCCTGGATCGTTTGGAAGCTTCTGTGGACTACGCACCTCTCATACCATCTCCCCGTTGTCACTTATTCCGCGGAACAATAAATTTGGGTGTCCAATCACTTAAATGATTTCAACGAGCATCAAATTTGACTGATGTGGAGCTGTTGTGAGGTATGAAGACGTGTTTGCTGGCGAACATGGTCTTGGGGAGAAAATTAATGAGCAATGAACAACAAACATACCAATTGGAAATATAAGTTAATGGAAATCCAAAAACGATTTTGAATTACTGTAAATTGTGCGCGTATAAAATATTTATCACTATGTCATGAAAACTTGCCAGGACCGGAAGAAAAAGAAATCACGGACCTATTTGTGGTGTTTGCCTACCTGGAGTGTCTCAAGGTAATCAACTCGACTTGCCGTTGCGGAGAAACAGAACCGCACCTTGTGATAGATCTCCGAGACAAGAGATAGTCCGGGGGACGAACTTCAGGCTGAGCGAGGTGTATACAATAAAGCAGAGGGCAAATGCACTACAGTTCGTTAAAGGAGCTGAGTTACGTCATTTTCAGTTAAAAATAGTACTTTGCTAAGATAGAAAAACACCAAACAGATAGGAACAAACCATAAAGGAACAAGGATGGTTAAGGATGGAGAAGATTAAAACGGATTAAAAGCGACGAACTTGTAAATTTAGGGTCGATTTTTCAAGATGTACAAACCGTGACATAGCTCCTTAAACGACTTGCTGAAAACGAATTCCGTGCTCAGTCAAAAAAAAACAAAAAAAAACAAAACAAACCCTTTTGGGCAAGAATTAGGTTTATTTATAATGATGATTATGCAGTCTATAATGTTATTTTAGATATTTTCGTTATTCGATGCAACTGCAATGTTTTGCACCGCCATCTTACATGATCGCGCACAAGAATTAAGCTGGAGTTACTGGACGTTATTATTTTAAAGCCAGGACTTTTCTTAAGATTTTTTAATATGATCTACCTCATCTATACAAGGTGACTCGTAAATCGAAACTAGGGTCTTGATACTATATTTAAGTTTATGGTCCATCAAATGTTTTTTAATAGATTTAGCGGGGACATTAGAACCCCACGGTATGAATAGACACGATGAATCGTAAAACTTGTAACCTACGTAGACCCGTTTTATCCCTACTTTAGTTTGTTTTGTTCGTCATTTCCGCCACTCCTTTTAGTTACTAAACATGTGTTACATCCACCACTATATAATATCGTAATTTTATTTTATAATTCAATAAAATCGAAACCTGAAAAAGGCTGGTCTGGCCAGCTGAAGTATTGTTTTAAATATACGACGTTGTGTCAGCCTTGCGGTAGTCGGTGACTTCTCATCGTTTTACTTTTCAAGTTTGGCTGATTAGATCTCCTGCGAGATCCAACGTTCAATCAAGCAGGATCTTCGTTCACGGCTTTGCAGTTTATTTAGTTTGTAAAGCAATTACACTATTCGCGTTAGATTTCTAAGCGTTATAGCTGACTCGGGCGGCGCCCATTAACGACAGCCTAAAAGATTTGGGCGGGCCTCGAAGACCTTGGCTCTTAAAGAGGGGGGTGGGTACTATCGCAACAGAATCTCTACTATGCAAAACATTAAACACTTTTGCCGGCGTTCCGTTTCAATTGGGAAAATTTCTGAGAAAAAGTTCCTCAGCAATAGTCCCAACAAAATTTCAACAGATCTAGGCTTAAAGTAAAGCACGCCGCTCTTGCATAATAGATCCGTAAGTGGGCCCCCTTCAGATAATCTCTGTTAATTTCTACAGTGAAACTTGGATTAAGCGGACCCCATATTAAGCGGACACCCTCTATTAAGTGGACACCAGCTTGAGTCCCTAAATTTTCTTCCTACAATTACTGTAAAATCATTCAGGGGACACACTTGTTAAGCGGACGCGGACACCAATATTAAGCCATCTTGTTGCACAAAACCTGCAATAAGCGGACACTTCAAGGACTTTTTACTTCTAAAAGCTCAGCTCAGACTCCTTTAACATTGTTCAGTGATGTCGTTTTAAAGCTAAGTAGATTATTCTAGATTGATGCATTGACTAACTGGACATTGTGCTATGAGCAGTCTTTGATCTTACAGTGTTACACTGTGTTACAAAAGGGTTAGTAATTAAATATTATTGCTGAACCCGTTTAGAGCGGACACCCTGTATCAAGAGGACACTAATGAGTGTCCCAAGAGCGTCCGCTTAAAACAGGTTTCACTGTATCGACTTTGAGTATTGCCGGGCAAGGGTCAAATCCAAAAATGGAAGGCAATACAGGACACACAATACACAACGTTTTAGTCGATGTTTTATTTTCAGCTGACCTGGTATCTCTTACCGTGAGTTTGAACTACTTACAAATACATTCAGTCAGTCTCTGTACACGATATCAATTAAAATAAATAATCACAAAACGTATAAGAAAAACCGAGTCAAAAAATCTTATATCTGAATTATAATACAAGGTCACAATAAACTACAAACCTGCTAAACAGGTCCGCAACGCGTGCAAATATTTCATAGGACCGTCTTTGTATCTACATCGCGGGTTTTTTTTTTTGATAGACAATTATCAACAAATTCGCAAAACTCTCGAATGTTCGATAAACAACTTGAGAAGTCGGATAAGAGAAATGTTATCTCTCGAGTCACTGGTTTGGTATCTCGGCCTAGAGAAGAGAAAACCAGCAAGTTAAAGATGAATCTCAAAAACACCTTGGTTTGCAATGTTCTTCTTTCAATTCTACAATGTTTTTCCTTTAAATTACTTGTTGAATTAATATTTACAATTTTCTCACTTGATTCGTATCGTCCGATTTCCCAGCTACAACCATCATCGTATATGATATAACCATATTTGTATTCCCGGTATTGGACTGGCACTAGCTTGCAATGGAGGCCAATGCGGGGAATATCATTAAAACGATTAATGTCATTTACATTTATAGACTCCCCGTGTTAGCCTCAGTTGCAAGCTAGTTCCAGTCCTATACCGAGAACACGAATTTGAGCAGTTAACCCTTGCCAGGAAATTATCACAGCTCTATCTGATCTTCGTAAAATGCAGAGTCAGCCCGCATTTACGCGGGCCTATCCTTTAAGAAGTAAAGAAACAAGAAGTGTTTAAAGTTGGGAATTTACCAAAACCTACTTGAGATTAACATGGCATCTTGACAACAAGATTTTCCCCAACTCGCGGAAAATACTGCTATAAAGCTCAGTGCAATGACAGGAGGCAAATATACAGTGAATAAAAAAACCTACATATCGTCACTTACGAACCACTGCAGTGTCCTTACAATATACCCTAACTGTATTCGAGTATTTACAGCGCACATGCGTATATATAGGGAGGGGACATGACGTATAAATTTGGTACTCAGTCAGAGATTACACCCAACGGATTTGACAAGTCCAGTCGCTAGAGTCGCCTCTTGAATCTGCGGAAAAAATGAGTTGAGTAAGACTTCGTTTAATAAAAGAGCAAAGTCAAGGACTTCCACAAAAATTAATACTACTCGCTCCCTTTATTTAGAAGCCAAAACTACATATAAACCGTATAATAAACAAAGTTGATTCCTAAACACATTTCCTCCGGTTTAACCAACCACATAAAATTCTTAACTTTTTTAACTTCTTTTTTTTTCTAGAGTTTCCCCAGTCAGTTTGGATATCAAAGCTTAATCAATTGCTTACTTTCTCACCTATTTACTAACAAGCTTCCTCTGCAACGTTCAGATAGTGTGTTACAAAAATATTCTGCACGAGATACGTGCCTATAGCTTTTATGGTCGGGGGGGGGGGGGCTGAGGCCAGCCTGGTCATTAACAAGGAGGGGAGCTCCCCCCTGGTCATCTACTAGGTAACGGAACCTTTCCTACCTGTCGAAGATATTCCTGGCATTCCGCTTTTGCGTTTAAAAGTAATTCTGCCTGGCCTTTTAACACACGGATGTTCCACGCATAGCTCTCCACAGCCTGGAAGGTAATTGAACAAAATACAACACAGCTAATGATCTTAACGATTGAACCACGAAAGAAACGTATCACTAGAGTCGATCGCACAATTTGTGGTATCAAGTGTCTACACTTATTAGTGATGTAACCAAGAACTGAGAACGGCAACCCGTCGACATCCTCTTTATCAATTCACTTCCTGGTTCAGGGTACTAATTGCCGGATCCATTTTAGCGACGAAAACCGTCTTGGGACGGGAAACTCCTCTTCAGACGGAAAACTCGTCTGATATGAATGGATCCGGCAGATGACGAGTTTCCTGTCTCAAATTTATCCGTCTACTTTTCTGTCCAAATCGACGGGAAAATAGGACGGAAAACTCTCTTAAATTCACACTGGACGCGAAAATCACGAGTCGCGATTTTAACACGGTTTACCGTCCTTAAATTCTGATCTTAGATGGTATTCTGTCAACGGAATTCCGTCTCTGACTAGTTCCCCGTTTTTAAATAGTAATTCGGCTCAGTTATGAACTATGAGTCCTTGACTGGTGCTTTAAATAGTCAAGCTCTCGTGTTGAACCTCTGGGTCGGGTTGTTCGAAGCCCGATTAAGCTAACCCAGGATTAGCAAGAAATTTGATCTTAGTTTTGTAACTTTTCGGTGAGGTTTTCTGTTTATACTGTTTGTCCATCAGTTTTGAGCTTGACTAAGCTCAAACTACACGAAACTTAAGCAGTAAAAAAATAATTTTATACAAGAAAAATTAATAGTTCGGTTAACTTTTAATCCTGGGTTAGTGTTAACCGGCTTTCGAACAACCCGGCCCTGAAGTATTGTTACTTAAACGTTTAGATTCACTTTGCTGACGTCTGTCTTCGAAATGAAACCCTAACTTCTCGTTACTTTCTTAAAGCAATTTCAACCAAGCAGGTGATGTGATTAAATGATCTAGTCATCTCATGAGAAAATGTTTTAACCAGACGCTAAATTCTCCGAAACAGAGTCAAAAGAAATACATGATAATGGTAAGGAGAATCTGGACCCAGATGTCGCAAGCTAAACGGTTGCTGTGATCTCTGAGAATTGACTAATCCTTCAGTTTTCTGCACAAAGGTTGTTTAGCAATGCGATAAGTCCGGACAGCGACCTGCCCACAGAAGACTTTCGGGGTCTGAAAACATTACGGAAATCTTCGGGTTAATCGAAGATCAGCCGAACAAGGAACCAGTTCAAGTTGTTAACCGGCATGCACATACAACAAAACATACATATTCATCAAAGCCTACCTTCGTTAACCGCTTGCCTTTAATGCCCTCTTTTCCACAAGCATTGTGTAGCTCTTCCTGCAACCCAAGATTTAATACGTTTATGACACGACCTTCTTCTCCGAAAAAATAACGCAAAATCAAACACGTTGACAATTCTCACATCTAATGAAACTGCTACAATTCCAAAAGTAGTTCTATTGAAAGCTTGCAACGCCAACGGTAGTGACGTTGCCCGAATCATGAGCGTTTTGCCCGAAAAATTACATAATTTTCTCAGCTGGAGGACTGGAGCCCCCATCTCCTCCCTCCCCCCAGCTCGTACGTTGATGCCAACAAAGGTTGCGTCAACTAAAAGAACTTGTTGTTCAGAATCAAACGAGATAGCAAGTTACTTACGTGCCACTCCAACCCAGCTCTCTGGCTCTGAATAATCTGAAGAATAACAGTAACGTCAATAATGAATATGACAAACGAAAGCAAACTATATTCTTTGAATCAATTTAAAGTAGTAAAACTGCTCAAAAAGCGTCTGTGTAGGAGGCTATTCTTTTGGGTGATGGGGGTAGTCACGCAAACCTACGTGACGGCATAAGTCAATTGCGCTGGAATAATTAAATATGTATAGAAAGAAAAGCTTACCCTTTCGTGCACGGAGTCACAAGTTTCGATTAATGTTTTAGAGTCTTGAACTACCTGTAAAGATTGAAAAATATTCTTAGTACTATTGAATCTGGTTAGTTTAAAATTTTAAAGGTGAATCGTCCTTTGCCTTTCCTACCTGCTCTATCGCTGCCAACGCTTTCTTTAACATCTCTGGCAAACTTCCATGAGCCTCGAAATAAGGATACTACCACAAAAAAGAAAAAAAAAAGTTAAAAAGAATGATTCGGATTTGAACCATCAGTTAGTTTTCACTAGCGTACTCATATTCTTCCCCGAAATTCGACGTTTGTGTACCCAGATCACACTGCACCGGAGCTGTTTTCTTCCATAAATGCTGCTAAACGAGGTTTCTCGACTCCATGTCATCTTGGGTGGGATAGATTTTTCACGACTTTTTTTTTCCGTTTTCCGATTAGTATTAGTTTCGACTTAGAATATATACCAAACACTGACTGACACAAGACAGTTTTTGATCACATCTCCAGGCAACTGAAACACTCCGAAGTTCGTCGAAAGTATTCTCCTAGGCGTCGTATTGATTTTCAACTCTCTTCTCTGTGTTATATATATCTCTGTGTTTTGAAATTTGGTAAATACGTCTCTCGTCTTGATGTCACAACAGAAACGGCTAACCAAAACCGAGAACTAACGTCTTTCTTCTTTTCCTGCATGTACACAGAACTTTTTTTCTGGCGACGGTTTGAAGGTACGCACTTTTTTGCTGCATAGCATGAAGAGGAAAAAGCAATACAGGTGACGGTTGAAGGTAGCATGGGTACGAATATTGAAAGAGAATGTCTCGTCCGCAGTACCTCATCCTTCATGACCAGGTTCAAAGCGATAAACTCTGAAGTGCTTTGTAATCTAGAAGTCAGCAGTCTTATGCACTGTTTAAGGTTTGACCGGGGAGCCACGCCACAGATCTCCTGAAAGGAAGAAAAGAGAGGAAGGAGATAAGACAGAGAACAAGAAATTCTCCGCTATTAACCACTTGATTCACATCTACTATAAACTAATTCAGGTATGGAAAGCAATTCCTAATTTGCATTAGGGCTACAGAAACACGAGTGGAAATAGTAAGGTTGAGAGAGCGAAAGATGCTGCCGGAAACACGAACCGCAAGCGAATGCTTCCGTACATATTTCAAGTTTTCATAGACTTTGCAAAGCGTTCCTGTGGCTAGTTAGAAACACGAAAAAACGTTTCTTCACAAAATAACTTAGGGGGAACTTTTCTGCATTTTCACAGTTATTATAACAATTCCGTATCTTTAAAATAAGTGAGAGAAACGGTGTGGAGCAAGCCTAAAGACTTTCTACATAAGCTTTGTCTGGCCATAAGAACAACAACAACAAAACCAGTGATGACCACAACATGTTTTGTAACGACGTCAGCCTCTTTCGTCATTAGAGAATGTCGCTTTACAAATGATGCTAATAGTTTAAATAAAGGAAGTATAAAAGAAACGAATGTTACCCTGAAATTTCCAAGAGCTGTTTGAACATTTTCTCTGAGATCTGTGCCGTCTCTAAGTGGTTGAATAGCCAGCTATAAAAATATACAACACAGACAATTAGCATAACAACAAATGTGATCACTGACTATTTTACAGCTTTAAAACTGTTATACTCTATTAATTAGGTGAAGTGAAAAACGGCTGTTCTCCGATCGATGAGCTAACTTTTTTGCTTTAAGGTATCAGCCAACTCACCGGGACCGTCTGCGCGCGGACCGTATATTTTTTGAAAGCTGAATAATCATGGTTACAGCTAATTCCCTTTAGAAGGTACAAAAGTTTAATGCGCTAAAAAAATGAGGTTTCTGCAAAGCTAATTGTTTTCATTTATTAAGTTCCATGCTCACCAAAAACAAACGGAAGAAAACGATTAATACGGCCTTCATTTCTTCACACGTTTGCCTAAAAAACAGTGTCTCAGATTTCTGGAATGTGCGTCCGTTTTATTTTTACAAGCAAATATATTCGGGGATGAGAAATTATTGCCACCACCAGTGGAAAATAGGTTATAACTTTGAAATGAAAAGAAGAATTAAAATTTGCAGAGACGGTTTTGTAGGTAAGCTATCTGACATTAATTTGGCCAAATTTCAGCCAAATTGGTCCAGGGGCTGCCGACTTGCAGTTCAAAATACATGCACAACTCGAACAAATTTTCATATTGAGAAGCAAGGAAAAATAGAATTTCGACCGCAATGAGATTAGCGACACCTAGGCGTCAAGCAAATAAAGTGTTGATCGATAAAAGAAAGTATCAGTTTTCTTGAACAATAGTAGTTTGACAG